GCCTATTACCTGAAATGGAAAGTCGAGAAACCATCTGCATCTGCTCGAAGGAGACCTTCAATCAACGAAGGAATATTGTCGGGAAAATTGTCTGGGTTAAGGGTTTACGGTTTACGGTTTAGGGTTCATGGTTTAGGGTTTAGGGTTTTTTTAAAAAAAACTATATAGCAATGGCTGCACCTAAAGTTGGTTGCCTACGTACCCAAACGGGATCAAGCCATACGTAGTTCTAGTAATACATGCTATACAGTCCAAGTCAAGCTAACAGACTAAACTAGACTAGGTAGTATAAGTATCAAAGGCGAAAGGCAACATGCCTAAGAAATCAACACCAATCGAGCATCGTAAGCCTATCAAGTGTATGTAATCAACACTAAGTGTCCTAAAAAACAAGTAAGAGGGTGAAGCTCTTACCTGAAATGGAAAGTCAGGAAACCATCTGCATCTGCTCGAATGAGACCTTTAGTCAACAGAGGAATATCTGTCGGGAGAAGTGTCCATATTAATGGTTTAGGGTTTAGGGTTTAACGTTTATGGTTCAGGGTTTAAGGTTTAGGATATTTTTAAAAATAAATTATATAGCAATGGCTGCACCCAAAGTGGGCTGCCTACGTACCCAAACGGGATCAAGCCATACGTAGTTCTTTTAATACAAGCTATACAGTCCAAGTCAAGCTAACATACTAGACTAGCCTAGGTAGTCTAAGTATCAAAGCCCAAATCCAACATTCATAAGACATCAACACTAACAAACCATTACTAAGCCTATTAAGTATAACTAATCAACACTAGGTGTCCCATAAAACAAATAAAAAAGTGAAGCCTATTACCTGAAATGGAAAGTCGAGAAACCATCTGCATCTGCTCGAAGGAGACCTTCAATCAACGAAGGAATATTGTCGGGAAAATTGTCTGGGTTAAGGGTTTACGGTTTACGGTTTAGGGTTCATGGTTTAGGGTTTAGGGTTTTTTTAAAAAAAACTATATAGCAATGGCTGCACCTAAAGTTGGTTGCCTACGTACCCAAACGGGATCAAGCCATACGTAGTTCTAGTAATACATGCTATACAGTCCAAGTCAAGCTAACAGACTAAACTAGACTAGGTAGTATAAGTATCAAAGGCGAAAGGCAACATGCCTAAGAAATCAACACCAATCGAGCATCGTAAGCCTATCAAGTGTATGTAATCAACACTAAGTGTCCTAAAAAACAAGTAAGAGGGTGAAGCTCTTACCTGAAATGGAAAGTCAGGAAACCATCTGCATCTGCTCGAATGAGACCTTTAGTCAACAGAGGAATATCTGTCGGGAGAAGTGTCCATATTAATGGTTTAGGGTTTAGGGTTTAACGTTTATGGTTCAGGGTTTAAGGTTTAGGATATTTTTAAAAATAAATTATATAGCAATGGCTGCACCCAAAGTGGGCTGCCTACGTACCCAAACGGGATCAAGCCATACGTAGTTCTTTTAATACAAGCTATACAGTCCAAGTCAAGCTAACATACTAGACTAGCCTAGGTAGTCTAAGTATCAAAGCCCAAATCCAACATTCATAAGACATCAACACTAACAAACCATTACTAAGCCTATTAAGTATAACTAATCAACACTAGGTGTCCCATAAAACAAATAAAAAAGTGAAGCCTATTACCTGAAATGGAAAGTCGAGAAACCATCTGCATCTGCTCGAAGGAGACCTTCAATCAACGAAGGAATATTGTCGGGAAAATTGTCTGGGTTAAGGGTTTACGGTTTACGGTTTAGGGTTCATGGTTTAGGGTTTAGGGTTTTTTTAAAAAAAACTATATAGCAATGGCTGCACCTAAAGTTGGTTGCCTACGTACCCAAACGGGATCAAGCCATACGTAGTTCTAGTAATACATGCTATACAGTCCAAGTCAAGCTAACAGACTAAACTAGACTAGGTAGTATAAGTATCAAAGGCGAAAGGCAACATGCCTAAGAAATCAACACCAATCGAGCATCGTAAGCATATCAATGGCTGCACCTAAAGTTGGTTGCCTACGTACCCAAACGGGATCAAGCCATACGTAGTTCTGTTAATACAAGCTATACAGTCCAAGTCAAGCTAACATACTAGACTAGCCTAGGTAGTCTAAGTATCAAAGCCCAAATCCAACATGCATAAGACATCAACACTAACAAACCATTACTAAGCCTATTAAGTATAACTAATCAACACTAGGTGTCCCATAAAACAAATAAAAAAGTGAAGCCTATTACCTGAAATGGAAAGTCGAGAAACCATCTGCATCTGCTCGAAGGAGACCATCAATCAACGAAGGAATATTGTCGGGAAAATTGTCTGGGTTAAGGGTTTACGGTTTACGGTTTAGGGTTCATGGTTGAGGGTTTAGGGTTTTTTTTAAAAAAAACTATATAGCAATGGCTGCACCTAAAGTTGGTTGCCTACGTACCCAAACGGGATCAAGCCATACGTAGTTCTAGTAATACATGCTATACAGTCCAAGTCAAGCTAACAGACTAAACTAGACTAGGTAGTATAAGTATCAAAGGTGAAAGGCAACATGCCTAAGAAATCAACACCAATCGAGCATCGTAAGCCTATCAAGTGTATGTAATCAACACTAAGTGTCCTAAAAAACAAGTAAGAGGGTGAAGCTCTTACCTGAAATGGAAAGTCAGGAAACCATCTGCATCTGCTCGAAGGAGACCTTTAGTCAACAAAGGAATATCTGTCGGGAGAAGTGTCCATATTAATGGTTTAGGGTTTAGGGTTTAACGTTTATGGTTCAGGGTTTAGGGTTTATGATATTTTTAAAAATAAATTATATAGCAATGGCTGCACCCAGAGTGGGCTGCCTACGTACCCAAACGGGATCAAGCCATACGTAGTTCTGTTAATACATGCTATACAGTCCAAGTCAAGCTAACATACTAGACTAGCCTAGGTAGTCTAAGTATAATGAAAACTATATACTACTACTCTACTACTACTACCCCTTTAGAAACTGCTGCTATTAATGTTGTCAATATCTCTATTGATCAAACCAAACCCTTTTCATATACAAGCCATGCCAATTATATCCTCTGTCCTGTTTCTATCATCCTAACAACCCCCACCCCTGGAAAGAATCAAGAAGGCAGCAGTCTTGCCTGTCTCAGTCTCCTTGTGTGTTTCAGTTCCAACGCCAATCAAGTAAGCCCACCTGCAGGAAGCAACAGGGAAGGCAAAGAAGAAGAGCAGATGATGATGGTGATGAAGACCAACCACCTGGGAAAGTGAGAGTTCAAGAATCTTTAAGAGGCAACATACTGGATGGAAGTTCCAGGAAGAAAAGGGCTCTCGCTTCAGGCATCAATCCAAATAACCGTGACCATGATTGCTGGTCCCACTCTACAACTAGCCAAGGCACAATCCAGCAATGTGTGCTGCAGATTATTCCTTTCTTGGAACTCCTCAACATGCAATGCTATAAGGCTTCCAGAGTTACGGACGACTTGGTGAACACAGAAAGCACATAAAACATAGGGATATACAGATCATTGCTTTAGATTAAGAATATGATAAAACATGAACTGTGATTATTACAATCAAGATTCAGATCATACAAAATGAAGGATAACATAATATCAATAAAGTTTCCTTTTCAATCTCGTCACTTATAGATAATTTTGTCCATTCATATTTCTCTTCTAAATCAAATATAAATGTGAAATAAAAGCCAATCAATCCCTTAATTTTACATAGTAGATCGACATTCAAAATTTTAGAAATTTCCATCCTACCATTGGATAGTTTATTTGATTATATTTTGCTTATTGCTTATTCATCTGTCACATTGTTATCTTTTCGGTATGTTAATTGTACATAGACAATACTTTGGAACATATCAGTGGACCATTTTGAAGATCGCCGGGAAGGATTGATGCAAATAACCGTAAATTAAAAATAATCACACCGTAAGATTTCTATGTTTCAAATGTCTATTATTATTTTGAACAAATTAAGAGTGCGTTCGTTTATAAAATTATAATAAATTTCTATATTCATCCAAACAATTTTTGAAAACATCAAATCAAATGTTTTTTTTTTCACATTTTATATTATATTGAAATTTAATTTTATATTAAAAATATTATATCAATATTTATTTATATCACATCGTACAACTATTCAAATTTAAAATTTTTATTATTGAAATCCTAAACCAAAATTCAAACCTCAGCGCAAATACATCCTTAAGTATATATTGCCAAATGAATTTATTTTTTTATTTTGTGATTTTCAACTTTACTATTTGGTGGTGTAGAGGTGACTTTCCACACCGTCTCATATGCTACACATAATTCGCCTAGCGTTGAGTTTTCACATTATAAATTAAACATAACTTATTAAAAATAATAAATGGTTAGATTATTAAAATTTATTGTAACACCCCCTAAAAAATTGCTATCATTTACTTATTTAGTTACTAATATTTATTGAAAACACAATCTAGTTTCTAAATTATTTGGTCCAAACTGGTTTAGGGTCTTTATTACAATAGTGATGAGCTATAAATTAATGTTTAGATCAATAAACCAATTAACCTAATATAATATTCACAAAAGTCTTCTTCAACCCATAACTATCACATTATTCATCACCCATAAATACATCTTCTAATTATATATATATATAACTTTCAGAGATAATATATATAATGTTGAAAGAGAGTTGCAGAATCGTGGCCACCACCTTCCTCAGCCTCCTCCTGACTTTCCTCGTCCTCGCCCGTCTCTCCGGCCGGCGGCCGCCGTCGCTCAGCCGCCATGAAATCAATTCATCCTCGACTGTCTCCTCCACGTTGGTCGTTCTTACAACGTTAATACTAACCCTAATTTCTTCTCTGGTAACCTTTGCAGCAATGCTGCATTGCATATTTTCGGGAAGAATCACAAACCCCTCATTTCTATCCGCCATAGCCAAACGGCGTTGGTTCAGCTCCTTATGCATCCTCCTCCAGCTTTTTCTGATGCAGCTTTGTCTTAGTTTAGGGGTTCATCAGACTGTGTACGAGGAGGAAATAAAATTTGGTCGTAGTATCGATATTGGAAGATTGGGTCTTTTGAGAAGATTAGCATTTGCATTTGGACTGCATGAATCGATGGTGTTCTGGTCGGAGAGTGTGGTGAAGGTGGCGGTGGATATGGCGGTCGATACAGGTTTGAGGCGGTGGTTGTGGCCGGAGAAGGCGGCGATGGTGGGTGGGTTGGTGAATTTGTGGTGGCGGGGGTTGGGGGAGGAGGCGGAGGTGCTTGTGGCGGCGCCGTGGGTGGGGCGGGGGCGGGGGGTGGGTGTAAGAACAGCGGATGTTATTGGATGGGTGTTGTATTATTTGACTGTAACGTTAGGACTAATCAAAATGGTGCTGATAATACGGAGGCTCTACTCAAACATTGTTCGAGGAAGAGACATCAAGGATGACACTATGGTTATTGTAATTTGATTATGTTCGATCCGCTTATTTGTTCAAAAGAAATATCGGGATTTAATACGAGAAATTAGTAAAGAATTTTATTAAATGATATACGTATAAAATGGAATGTGAATGGATCATTCACTCCAACCCGCCCTATCTCATTATGCATCATCACATACTCATGTATAGATACATAGATATGTATACTATAAAGTAATGTGTGTGTGATAGAGAAGGAGGAGCGATGACGAGGATCTCTCCCAATGTTACTTTACAATATGCTTAATTTTAGAGTTCTTTCAATAGAATTTTCAAAAAAAATGTGCATAGACATGAATAGTCTGTGTAATTTGGATTGTCTTAATAAGGTGGATAGTAATTGCTATGGCTGTATATATTTTGTAAGATAATTTGAAAGAAAATTTTTTTATGTAAAGTATAAAATATAAACATAATAAATATATATATGATATATTAATATTTTTTGAAAATTTAAGTGTTTATTTTTTTGGTTAAAAAAACACACCCTGCGTTTTCTTTTAGATTTCTCATTCGGCCAATCAACTATTCTATTTTGTTAATGTCTTTGCCGTATTTTTTTATTTGTTATTTCTGAGAATAATAATTTACCATGGAGAACAAGAAAAAAAAAAAACTTAATAAAATATGTCGAATATTAAGTAAAAGTATATACGCATAGTTTCAAAAATGGAATCTCTAGTCATATATAATTATTATAATGACAGTCAAATTGATTTTATTCCTTTAATAATATTTAAATTTAATTAAAAATATAACAATAAAGAAAGTCAAGAGAAAGAGAAAGATAACCAATCCAAACAATAGCTTTTTATGCTTTCAGTTCTAACACTATTAAAATTGTGGTTGTTTTTAGATTTTTAGTTTTGGTTTTGGTTTTAATTTTTATTTTATATTTTATTAATCATAAATTTATTTTAAAAAAATAAATATATCAAATTCAATATATTTTTTTTATGTTATACTAAAGATTATTTGTATATTTAAAATAATATATTTTTATACTATTCTTAACTCTAAACACAATTATCGCAATTTCAACCAAGTAACACTATGTTCCCATATTTTGGGTTTGAATTTTACTTAAACAATATTTTAGTATAATAATATATATATAATTATTTTATAGAATAACGTAATTATTGACCAGTAACAATTTAAAATAAAAAGCTAAAAGAAACACATTTTCAATTACCAAAACGAATAAACAAACAATAAAACCATTAAAATAATAAAATAACACATACCCGCCCAGAAAGACCCCAAAAAACAAATTAAAATTAATTAATTATTCCTACTATTATCCCGACACATATCCCATAAATTCCGGGTCGGACTCCAGACCCGCCATCGTATTCGGATCCAACACCACCTCCAAATCGACACTCCCATTCCCCCCTCGACCGGGAAACGCAGAAATCTTGCCGTCGAATTTATTCGCCGGTCCGCTCCCGACCGCCGCCGGTTTTCCCCACCCGAAATCGTTGTCGTACATCGGAAACCTCGGCGAGCTGCCCATCGTGATCATCGCGCCGTCGAAATTGCCCAGCGGGAAGCACCGTGGGTCCCGCTCCCACGCCGCCACGTATTTCCGGACGGTGGCGCCGTCGTGCGCCACCACGTTTTTGTGGAGCTCCGCCGCGCACCACCGGAGGTCCTGGCTGAGGACGTTCCCCGCAGTCGCGTACGTCGGAATGCTCTGGATCGCGTTTCCGAAGTACAGCGGGTTAAGCTTCGGCTCCAGCCGGTGGCGGCAGTTCACCGCCATCCGAAACGTCGTCGTTTTGGAGGACGGCAGGTCACGCGCGCGCGTGATTCCCCGCCATAGTAACGCGCATAGCGATTGGAATGATGAAATCTCAGCCGTCGATTTCCCGCGCGTGTCGTGGCTGTGCTTCCCCATCAGCTCCACCAAGTCGATCGCGCCGGCGCCGGCGCCGCCATCCGATTTTCCGCACCCGTAATTAACCTCGGCTTTCAGCCGTCGGATCGAGTCGCGGCTGAAGCCGAAGATCCTCTCCTTCAGCGGCGCGTCGACGTCGAAGGTGACCGTCGGGCCACCGTCGGGGAGTTTCAGCACCGCCGGCGAAATCAGAACGGAGTCGCGGCTGAAATCCGGCGACCTCGAAATCCAATTCCCGCCGCGGCTGACCTCCGCAAACGTATTAAAGAAGTTCCAGAACGACGTCCCGTCGGTGACGGCGTGATTCACGGTGCAGCCGATAAAAACGCCGTCAGCTAACGCCGTTACCTGCACAGCTAACAGCGGCCTAAAATGCCCTTGGTAGCTCACCAAATAGTCACAGGCGAAGAAACCCTTGAGCCCCGCCGGAATGTCCAAATCGCCGGCGAGAAGGTGAGACCCGTCGGCGTGAATAAAATCAACGCCGGCGTCGTTGCAGGTGATGTAAACGTACCCAGCGGAGTCGGTGACGAGGCGTCCGGCGAGCGGCGGGAAATGCAGCAGCGCTATGGATAGGCTGTGCTTGAGATGAGAGAGCATCTCCGGGACTGGAAAGTGGGGATGAAGGAACAAGCAGCCTTTCTGAATGTAGTGACATGACAGCATCGGAAGGTCGGAAACGGAAAGCTTGAGGTCAGGCAGAGCAGATTTCTGAGCAGGGAAGACGGTGCATCTGGAGACGACTGACACCATTTTTGGGGGATTCAGCTGCAGTCTACCTGCCTGCCTGCCTGACACTCTCTCGAACAGTTAGTGAGGAGTGAGGTAGGTGGGTAGGGTGGGGTGGGGTAGGGGTATGGGGGCCTGCCTGCCTTGCGGTATTTATAGGTGTAGGGGTGAGGTGGGTGCATGAATCCAGAATTTGGTGAGTTGACCACAAATATTTGATGTAAGGAATGGATGAATACATACATAGATAGATAGATACATATACATACATACATGTATATGTACACACATACTCAAAAGATATATGTGATGATTAGGCGGCACGTGTACAACTACGGGACTGCGTCGCCCTCAGGAAGCAAACACCTGTTATCATAAACTTAGGTATGAGATCATATTTCATACTTAAACATTTATGAAATTAGTCTTTTTCAGAAAAAGAATATTACATTATATATGTTTATTTTTTATTTAATATTTTTATTTTAAATATGGATAAATACTTATTTATGGCATATTAAATAATTGCTTCAACTTAAAAGTAGTTATTTCTAAAATATCACAAAAATAGCAAAGCATACAAAGAAATACAACAAAATAAATAATTATAATGATAACAGTTAATATAATACTTCCTCCGTCGTGCAAATGTGTGTTCATTTGACATTTTTTACTTAAAAAAAAATAAGAATATTTTTCGATGACAATAAAAAAAAAGTGAGTATAAATTTGAACGACGGATGGAGTAATAAAATATTATTTTATTATATAATAAAAAAATTATATAAAAGCTATTGCATAAATATATAAATTACAAATGTGATTTGCTTCAGTTCATTTTAGATAATGAATATAGAAAACAATATATACGAGTTTTATTCAATTTAAATTTTAATTTGTTCACTCTGAATTTTTAGATGACACAATTTTCATAAATATAATTAAAAAAATATAATATATATACACATCAACACAATATGTATAATATATATTATCTCTGTTTGGTTCCAAAGGGTCTCATTTACTTTTTTGAATTGATTTTTAAATATTAATTATTAAATCAAATTGTAGTACAAATTAAAAAAAAATGCAAAAATATTTATGTTAGTATCTTATAATGCTAATTGTTGATGTAATTTTTCAACAAAAATAAAGTAAAATTCAAAGATATAGAAAATATCCTTAAACTTGATTAATTAGTGCCTGAGATTAGGAATCTCTAAACACTGTATGGTACAGAAAATAAACTGGAAAATAAAAGACTGAAATTTAAAGTGGTGATCCCCAAATCTGACTTTGCTTTGTTGAAGTTGATTGAAGATCCCTTGCCAAATGATGATCCAAATCCTTAAATATTCCCTGGGAAACCGTACTGAAAACCGTCACCCGAACGGTTACAACGTCTCCTTCTCAACCGTCTTCCAACCTTTCTTATGCTGACACGTGTCCCCAGCAGACCAAAAATTCCCTATATTTCACTCCTTGAGCCGACCACAGACCTTCCGCTCTTTTGGCCCGACTGCCAATCTACAATAGTATGGGTCCGACCGCCAATCCTCCCGACTTGCGAACCATCTGGCTTGAGGTCTTTCCGCCTTGAGGACTTCCCGACCTGAAAACCTTCCGACTTGAGGTCTTTCCGCCTTGAGGACTTCCCGACCTGAAAACCTTCCGACTTGAGGTCTTTCCGTCTTGAGGACCTCCCGACCTGAAAACCTTCCGACTTGAGGTCTTTCCGTCTTGAGGACTTCCCGACCTGAAAACCTTCCGACTTGAGGTCCTTCCGTCTTGAGGACCTACCGACCTGAGGTCCGTCCGTCCTAATGACTTTCCGTCTTGAAGACCTACCGACCTGAAGACCTTCCGACCTGAGGTCCTTCCGTCTTGAGGACCTACCGACCTGAGGTCCTTCCGTCCTAATGACTTTCCGTCTTAAGGACCTACTGACCTGAAGACCTTCCGACCTGAGGTCTTTCCGTCCTGAGGACCTACCGACCTGAAGTCCTTCCGTCCTGAGGACCTACCGACCTGAGAACCTTCCGTCCTGTATTTTCCTTAGAAATAAATAAATAAATTTATTTTCCTTGATTTCCTCACGGTGTCCTTCAGCCAGTTCAATCAACCCTATTGCCAGGCCCATTCTTCTTTTTTACCTTGGGCTTTTAACCTAATTCTAAATTTCGTACGTAACAACTTGCCCGCCGCCAAGGGACTTTCAAACGCCATTTAACAATCAATGTTTGGAAGTTCATAAATCACTACCCTCTTGAAAAACTCCCTTAGCAACTGCACCAGTTACTGAAACACGCCTGATAAACTTCCATCTTCGCAATACAAGCCTGTGTGAATCACAATCCCAAAACATTCTAACTATGGCGAATCAATACATGCCTGCCCTTCCTTTCGACGGAACCCTTCCAGAAGGTCCATTTTCAGCCTCGAAAGTACTAACTCCGACGATCCGTCCATATTGCACTACTCCTGAAGATTCAAATCGGATGAGGGAAGTTTTGGAATCTCGCAACGCCTTGGCTATCAACAATCCCAACTACCAAGCAGTTCGCATCCGGGACAGCATCAAGACCCATCTCACAGACCCAAAAGATCTGTATCGCGCTTGGTATCGACGAGTAGCAGAACATTTCCAGACCCAATGGCGTTCCCAAAAATCGACCAAGCAATATTGCTGTCCACCATGCCTATCAACCTGCATGAGAAGGTGTTATTGGCCATGTCTGCCTTCTGGAATGCGGAAAATGGGACTTTCCTCTTCCCATCAGGCCCCTTTGGCCCAACTCTTATGGACGTGGCCATGATCGCACATCTCCCAGTCGTGGGTGAAGACCCTGTAATGGGAGCCCTAGATGGGCAGGAGCCATCAGAAGACCATCCGGGATGGTCTTTACAAGGTGTGAAGGAATGGGGTTGGACAAAGTTCGCAACCGACCAGCAAGGGGCTCCAGGGACCCCTGTAACCGACCGGGAGCATACTGCCTTTATCCTGTTCTGGCTTTGTAGGTACGTCATTGTTTCCCCTTCCAAAAGTGTCCTTCCTTCTCACCTCGACCTGGCCATTCATATTGCGTCAGGTCGGTTCTTCTCCCTTGGCACCCTATTTTTAGCCAATCTGTTCGAAGGACTCACCAGGGTTAGCCTTCGTTTAACAGATAACGATAATAGGAAATTAGACACTGCCGCGTCGGGTCCTTTTTGGTTTTTAGAACTTTGGTTCCGTCTTTACTTCCCCAACGCGTTTAACTTAGGATCTCCGCCCACTATGCCAACATCTGAAAAACATTTAGGATTAGTCCTCAACCGACTCTGCTCAGGACGCAATAAACTCCAATCGTCCGATCCAATAATAACTGCCATTTTAACAGATACCCGCAGTAACTCTCGATTTTCTATGTATAAAAAATATGCGGGTTATGCTCCCGACCATTTTTGGCCCTTTCCAGTACCAAACCCGCTTCCGACTCCTGAGCCTTGTCCTCATCCCACCTATCCTTTCGCCTGGGACGTCGCCCTCAAACCCAGGTCTCTTTTTAGTAGCAAGAAACTTGATAAAAAAGGGCAGAAAACTTTTTACACTTTTAACTATGAACCTCAATTCATGGCGCGCCAGTTCGGCTGTTGCCAAGGTATCCCTGGACCCGTCGCGTGTCCCCAAATAATTTTTCAAAGTCCCGACCGACGAGTCCTTCCTAAATCAATCCATTCTTATATCTCCCAGCTCACCACGTATATAATTTCCAATTCTTATATTCCTTTCCGCTCCAACCCTGAGATTGTAGATACTTTCAATGAATGGTGGTCGGTTGTATGGTCCCTGATATCCCCTGACGAGGATCGGTTGCTGAACGTACTCCTCCCCCCCCAAGGACTGGTTCTAGGGGCGGCGATACATACTAGCACCCAAAAACAAACAACCCCGGGAATCGGATCTGGGGGTCCCACGCGCAAAAGAAAAACTTCCCAGCTGCAAACACCCCCGACCTCGGAGACCGACCAGCAAACACTAGCAGACCTTGGACTAACTAGGACGTCAGCAAGGACCCGACCCCGAATTGGTAATGTTTCTTAACACCGTGAACCAATTCACTATATCATAACTTTGATTTTACTCATTTCATTCCCCAGAACCGACCTTGGTGACACCGACCACGCAACCGCCGCCAGCACTAACCGACCATTCAATCGGGCCTTTGGTCCAGACCAATTTGCCAATGAGCAGTCGGGCGGAGGACCCGACGCGGAGGCAAACTCCTCCTCCCGTACCGAGGAGTGGTCGGGCCAGGCCCCCGACCAGGAGACAATCTTTACCAACAATGCCTATAGAACCAGTAAGTTCCTTTATCAGCAAGACTTAGGATTCGGATGATCAACCTTAATATATTAAACAACAAACATCTTCATGATTTTTCCACAGACACCTTCACCCAACCCATCAGCAGCAGGGGTCTCTTCTGACAGCGAGGGGACTACTTCCCAGATGGGTCGGCCGCCATACATGGCATCAGACTCATCTATGTCAAAGGAAGAACCAGCCGCCCTCGCCGAAGCTGACCCTCAAAACGACATCCCTGATGCTGCTGATCCCGAAATCGAAGGTGTCCCGGAGATCCTGGCTGCAGTGGCTCTAGATATAGCCGTCCAACCTGCAGCCGCCCTACCAGCAGCGGCGCCCCCCCTAGCCATCGAATGGCAGGCAGAAGAACCACCTGTGGCAGCCCAACCTCCAGAAATGGAAGAAATGTCTTCATCCGATTCGGAGACTTCTGTTAATTTGGTAAGATTAAACCAATCCATGTCATAACTTTTCTTTCGAAAAACACTAACTGTTTCCAATACTACTTTCCATAGGGACCCAGGTCGGCACCTCAGCGACCATTCGCAGCAGCCGACGAGTCGGCTGCTATTATACCAGCTGTCTGCCCTACTCGACCGACCTCATTGCTGCCCCCCTCACTGACAGCAGTCCGCCCAGAGGTAACACATATCTTGTCTGAATAAATTTGCACCTCCCTTGGAATACTTATTGACATTGTAGGACTTGCAGGGGCCTTCGGACTTAGCTGTCCTATCGACTGTTCCGGTTCCAGCGGAGGCCCGAACCATATTCACTGAGGCCATTAA